TATATATATATATATATATATATATATATATATATATATATATATATATATATATATATATATATATATATATATATATATATATATATATATATATATATATATATATATATATATATATATATATATATATATATATATATATAAATATATATATAAATATATAAATATATATATATATGTTATACCTTTATCATTCATAGTCAGCCTTCCCGCTGCACCCCCTGTAGCGAAGCGCTTGTTGTCCTTGGCATAACCAGGACTCAGCCCCACGCCATATAGTGGCATTCCAAACGAAGCCGTAGTCTGGCTAGAATCACTGTACAGGCTGTTCACAACCACCTGTATACAAAATTTGCAGCTTAGGAATTACAAAGAAAGCTGAATATATTTAGCGTGAATACACACACACACACACATACATACATACATACATACACACACATACATACACACACACACACACACACACACACACATATATATATATATATATTCATAGCATTATTGCTGGTAGATATGTAATATTAGTATGCAACGTCTGTTTCGGCAATGTGCTAGCAATACCGCACAATGGAACCCGTATTGGTTATTTGCTCATGTCGATCTGTGAACTACTACCAACTCACATTATAGATGGTATTACCATACGTGTTTACCTATATTGCTAACACATATCTCTTGTGTACACGAACATCCTAATCCACCCAATTTATACCCTATGTAACAGCTGCATACATTTACCATGAAAACATGTAAAACGACTGTGCCTAAAGCACACAACAGCAGATATGTATTTGTTGCTGTATTTATTCATAAATGGCCACCAATACTTGTATGGCTACATATAGAGACTTTCGAACATACTCAGAGTATAACATCCGGGTACTAGATGTACGATTGTGGTGTACACCCACTCCTCTCACACTGTGTATATCGACGGCATAGCGTTACAGTATAAAGACCGGCTCAGGAAAGGAATCTAATATATATATATATATATCTATGAAAACATATCTATATATACGCTGATATACACGGTTTTCGGCCAATTCAACAGATATATATTTTTCGACCCTATTGACATGAAAAGATACATTGCTATCGCGAACTCTCAAATGGTCTTAGTAAGTACCTGTCCATCCTGTCCAGCACTGGCGACGAACTCTCCGGAGGAATCAACGCACACCGCATTAACCTGCAATGACAAACATGAAGATGAATGGATGTATGAGAACGTGTGTAGTTCAAATCTGAAAGGCATTTTCTAATACCCATATGGCTATACGAACCGGCTATATCCGTTCCAAAACATATACGCTCATCACGGCATGCATGTACCGAGCTACGCGAGTGTATGAGATTCATCTCCATCTACTTGGCATTTCTAAAATATATTTAAATCTGCACGCTTACTTCCGTGACGTGACTTTATATATAATGTGTGGCTGTTTATAGAAATGACACGAATAGGCACTTATGTAATGCTATGGAAAGCCGACATCCTTGTGTAATCATACAATAGTCTATACTTAGGACGATCATACATATAGATATATATATATATATATATATATTATATATATATATGTAACACACACACACACACACACACACACACACACAC